GGTAAATATTCTTCAATAAAGTGTTAAATGGTTTTAGTTTTTTGTGACTGCTCATTAGAACTAACACTTTACCATTGAACATTACTGAATTATCTTTTGATCAATTACAAAACACAAACTTACATTAATCATGATGAATCACTGGGTCAGTGGTAGACATGCAAAACAAAAACATCTTAAAAATATGCTCTTAAAAACTTGTCTTTTTTAATAGACACTGTTATTTTATGTCTCTTGTGGTAATACACTGAAACGTGTCCAGTATGTCTGAAGGGACCTAAAATAACTTTGTCTAGTAAAAAAGAAAAGTTTTTAAAGATTTATCAGATATACAGTATAGGCACAATGAACTTCACAGGATTATTAAATATATGCTTTATTTGACATGTGGGTAAAATAAATCTGTTATTTATTTGCACAGGTAAATACATTGTTGTTGAAAGATGATTCCTCCATATTCCCCTGTGTCTGGGAAAGTTTCTGACCTGTTGAAAGAGCATAAAGTAGAAGATGTTTTAGATATTTTGATCACAAAGGATTACATCCTGAGGTGGAAGAAAACTTTTTGGCAGCAAAATATCAGGAAAACCTGTCTGATGTGCAATAACTGCTTATTATGGTGATGATTATGATATAACTTGTGATAAATGAATACATAAGTATCTGTGTTGATGCCTTTCAACAAACATAAACTAAAACATAATTTCTATTCCAACATGACAGTTTCTTTATGATTTTAAACATCTCCCTCATTAAACATTTTCTGATTCTCCAGATAGTGAAAAACACCCTTTACTGTAGTGATTCTAAATTCTGGTCCTCATGACGCAGTATCCTGCATGTTTTAGTTGTTTTCCTGCTCCTCTGCAGAAGCCTGTCAATCACCCAATAATTTAAATCAGGTKTGTCAAAGCTAGAAAACAACTAAAACATGCAGGACAGTGAGTCACGACTAGAACTGAGAATCACTGCTTCACTATCAGTTTGTTATAAATATTAAAAACTTCTGAAAATAAAGTAAAGAATTTTCAATAAAATTAACAAACCTAAATCCAACTCCATATTATCTCACTGCAGTCATTTCCACTGACCAAGTGGTTATGATTTGAAGTGGTTTCTCTTATCAGACTGATGAAAAAATAAATATAAAATTTTCTTTTGTTGTAAAACCTCTGGGACAATAATGAAAACATTTACTGGAGAATAGTTTTCTGTGAATTCTCAAGCTGTGGAGGAAGACTATGAGGATATAAATGCGATGTAAAAATGCAATGCCATTTTTTCCAATATCATGCAGCCTGTTACTTTTATGTAAAACAAAATTTATTATTTACTGATAGTTATTATGTACTGAATAAATGTTTACATTATATAAAAGGAAACATTTTTCACTAAGTTCTCAAACTTTGGTTCTTATTTCTGTCTCCCACAGTTTGTCAGTTTAAAATCTGTTGCACTGAATAAACCACCAAACTTACCATCAAATATTTCCCTTTGCCCTACAATTAAGATGAACATCAGAGCTACAACAGTTGCAGTGCAAAAAATTCATCTCRACACAAATAGTTTATGACTTACCTATTTTAMAAAACCTGAATAGGAGTCTTCCAGAATCCACTGCGTCTCAGACCTTCCCCAAAGTCAGCTTCTCTGAAACAATTATACAGTATAATGAAGTTAAAACCATAACCAGATTTTTATTTCAACACATTTATCAAATACTGAATTTTATTTTATATACGTCTAGACCAACTTACCTATATAATGCTATATATTTTTTGGTTGTAGAATGAATCACACATGATAATCTACAAGACTAAACATCTAATAACAGATTATAAATCCTGCTGAGGCTGAACAAACACAGAGAACTTGACAATAAAAGATTTCAATATATTTTCTTACCGATCTGCGTTACCAACAACACTGGAATGGACCAGGAAATGATGTGTGGTCATCTGAAGTTTGGTTGTTGTTGTTAGCCAAATAAACATCCAGACATCTACAAAAAACAATTACATAAACAATTTGTCAGGGTTGTCTTTTAATCACACACATTTAACTTTGTAATATACTCCTAACATGTCACACTGATGTTTTCATCTTTTATAGAAAGATGACATTCAGACAGAAGGTGAAAAAAAAATTACCCAGTATAGTTCCAAAAAGCCATTATCTTTCCTGTTTTTATTTTATTTTATTATTTTTAGGGTTTTTTTGTAAGTGACCACAGCTGCTGAGTTATTAATACAACTTCTATATTTCTAAACAAAAAGTAATCAGCAACAGCATATATTCTGTAGAACTAACACAYGTTTTAATGCTGAGCTGTTGTTAAAAATCAAATGTGAATAACACTGAAAACAAACATGAGTGCWTTCTATCCGCCAGGGCTAACAGCAGGCCTGATTAGCTAAGTGCTAAATGATAAAAGGCAGTGCACAGTTATAGTTATTTCACCATATCTAACTGCTTTTAATTCTGATCCATGACAGAATAAGTTAAGTTAACTATATGTAGGTATCCTGATGCATCTCAGTAATCCAGGTAAAAAATCAAAAAGAAAAAAATTGAATAGGTCTTCTGGAYGTCCAGAAGACCTTTACAATTTTTTTCTTTTTATATGTAGGTAAATATGAACAGTAGCTTACTGAGGTTAAATGAGTTAGCTGCTAATGTTAGCATTTAACGTGTTATAATTTCATAACAAACATATCACTGGTGGTTCTGTAACCATCGCTAACTTTGTTGTGTAGTACTACAGCAGCTCTAAATGCTTTTTTTTTTTTAATAACGCTWTTAAAAATAAAAAGAATGAAGCAGAGATACTAACTTGTCAAGCAGAAATGGCTAACTCTGCATCCCTCCTCTTCCTCCTGTGAAATCCACCTCGTTTTTTTCCGGGCTCGATCTAATTCTTTCTTTTCAACTTGGATTTCTTCCTGGGTCTTCTTCTGTTTCCCTGTGTTGGGTTTCAGAACAGGCTCCAATCCAGGTTGTAGTGTGTAGGTTGTTGGAGGGGTCAGCTTCACTCAGCTAGCTCAGCTAGCTTACTGCTTAAACGAGAGCGCGCTAGCTCGGCTGCGCGGCATGCGCGCTGCRTGGGCAGGGACGGGGGTGGGCAAGAACAGCTCGTGCATAAGACAAACCTCACTTTTGATTGGCTGTTCGTCTCTGGGTCGGAGAGATTTTAACAGAGGGCAGAAGGACCACCGGGAGGAGCCAGAGGAGTTTTTTTTCCCCTTTTTTCCCCCCAGAGATTATCTGTCTAATATCAATCTGTCAGAACATAGCGACAGTTTTAACAAATATGTCAAAAATATATATTTTAAAAAGTTACAGATTGCAGCTTTAATTGTTAAAGAACAATTAAAAATGTGTCAATATATTGTATTTTTGATTAAGGGAAAATCTCAGAAAGTACACATACACAAGGTGTCATTTTATCTTTGGTTCCACAGATTTAACACATTTTATTGATCTGATGGTTTAGATCATTTCTTACCAGCGAGGTTAGAAAAGTCGAGAAGGCTCGTTGCCGGCTGCAGCAGGTCGGGGCTGCTGGATGAGAGGTTCCCTGGAATAGGCATGATAGCCACGCTGTGACGACACTGCTTTGTACCCACAATGCTGTCGTCCTGAGACTGACCCATGCCGCCATCACTGGGGAGGAAATCAGAAGGTGAATCAGAGATAAGGGGGGAAGAAGATGAAGAAAGGCATTATAATGAGGTTTTAAACACACAGAGAATATTAAAAGGGTAGATATCTGTGGATTTTTGATCTTTTGTTATGAGTTTCAGGTAAAAGGACAAGAATGAGAGTTGCATCTTGAGAGCATATTAAAATCTCAACAATGGACAAAAGAGATACAATCAAAATCCTGCACAGTCAATAACCTATAATATTCTTTTTTATTATGTATCAGTGACCCTGTTGAGATTTATCCACAAGGGGTTTTCATTGGCAGAAACTGATAAGACAAAGAAACACGTTTACCAAACATACAGATAGACAATACATGGACAAGATGCTAACACACTGGAAAGTCAAAAATCATTCAGATTTTTTTKATTCTTTGTGCCTTAGAAACATCTTTGTTTCTTTTTTTTAGTTCTAGCTTTTTGCAGGAAAGAAACACAACTTAAGCATTACTATCAGGCTGCTTCTAGCTGTACATAAGAGAAGCAAATAAAACCCACCAGCAGAGTAGGTACTGTTCATGTCCAGACTGCAATCATAACTATTTTATGCAAAGCTATGTTCAGTGATACTTACAAGGTAAATTTCCAGAGATAAAAATGAACAATTACCATATTAAACATTACTGGAGTACACACCCACATTCAATCATGTACCAATAAATTCTCAAATTTAACCTGGCAGGTTTCAATCCAAGTTTATTTCCATTTCTGTATTAATTGTTTATATCCCCAAGCAATTTTTTATTGCAGAAACACAGGATTTCCACGAACACAGCTTCAGTCATGTTGCAGCAAAAGCTCTGTATTTTTTGAATTACACAATGATAGATTTTGAACCAATTGGATGGAACAAAGATGGCAAAAAAAGGCACAATTGATTGAAGATCAGGCTAGAACAGGAAAGGAAGAAAGTAACAAAACATTTTAAACATGATGGAAAAATATGGAAAAAATGGTAAAAGTAAAGATTTTAAGAGCTTGAAAGATTATGAGCATCGCTGGTGTTTATGTGCATGTTACAATAATAGTCACTCTTAAAAAAAAACGAGTCAAAACAGAGACCCAACAAAAGCTAAAGATGATAAATATGAGTACAAATACAACTTTTTTCAGTGAAGTACATTTAGATGAATCAAAATTTGTTGTTATTAAGTTGTGAAAAGGTAAAACTGAACTTGACAACTCAACCTTGTGAAAACACAAAGCTTTAAATACATTTATATGAGAAAAACCAATATAATCCTCTAGAAATGTAGGTGGAGGTTAGTACTGTAGGTGTGTGTGTTTGTTTGCATATGAAAACATAACCTTATAGTTGGCGAACGGTAAATTACGCAAGAGATCTTACCCAAAAAGGCCCCTGAAGCAGCAGAGACAGGCAGAAGAAAGACAACATTTAAACACGTGAAAAAGGTAAAAAGCAAAAATAATTAATAAAAGAAAAACAGAAACAGGGAGTGCTCATGCCAGTCTATATCTACTGAATATTCACAAACCCTGGACTGCACTGCAACAGTTCCAGCCTCACTTATATTCTCCTCTCCAGCCCCTTTAATCAGCCATTCTTCCCTTTGAATAAGAGCTGTCGTTAAATAAAAGAGAAAGAAAAATCCTTATCCGGGTGGTAACTAGACTGGAGTGCAGAACCTTTGAACGCTGCACGCCCAGTCGGATCAAACAGCTGTGCGATGGTGCGTTATGAGACGGAGCACATTCGGTTTTCATGCAAACGGCGTGGTTTGATGCACTCAATCAGCGCTGGGCTGGAAGCGAGGGGACATCCATGACAGTGTGTAAGGGAGATGCATTGAACGAGTTGGCGCTTTAATTAACAGAGAGAGCGGTGTCTACTCTCTTTCAAGCACTGACGCGCCGTGGAGGTAAATGAGGCCTGGAGAGCAACGAAATGATGAAATGAAATCAAATCTGTGCCGCCACGTTACGGGCGGAATATTGAATATGAGCCTCATCTGCACAATTGCTCCAGATGCTGCTTCAATCGCTGGTTATGGAAGACACAAACAATGGTTATATGATGATGATGATGTTCACCTTGAAGCTGTTTAAATTACAACAGCTAAAAATAGTGTTAAATTTAATATCAGATTTTTTAAAGCAAGATCTGTGCAGAATTTTTTTAAACATTTTATCTTTTTAAGGTTTTGAAACTGCAAATTTTTGATTATGTAGAACATGTTGTGAAACTAGATGTTGTTTWTTTTTGACCACTATAAAATATTTCCCAGCTGTAATTTGAACTGTGCCACTTTAATTCCACACACACACAAAAGCTTACCTGAACGGTTTAGGTGGCAGAATGCTGAAGCGCGTCTTCTCCAGCATCTTCCTGATTTTGTTACGTCCTCCCGACACGGTGTTGGCTTTCATTTTACGGGCGCTTTTTTGGTCCGTAGGAAACTCCAGGTCTCCAGGGAGGTCGGGGATGGAAAAGCGGTTGCCTTTTTTCTCCTGAATCTTGGGGATGTGAGGACCACCGTTCTTCTTTTCATGCATGATCCGACTCAGGAGCTCTTTGCAGACTGAACGGATGAAAGAGGAGAGGCTGGTTAGTCTCCCAAAAATGTAGATTTTATTACATCTTTGGTACAGTTAGTAAATTATTTATATTTGCAACAGCTTGTACAATTAGCGCTTAGAATAGCATTTCACTACTCTCACCRAATATGTTGGTTTTCACAGTGATAGAGAGGTGTGTGTTATTTCTCAAGATGTCCACAGCTTTGGCAAAGGAGATGTTCTCAAAGTTCTGACCATTGACCTCCATGATCTGAAAATAAAACAGGCAAAATAAATCAACTTTTGCTGCCGAAGAATGAACTCAAAAGTGCCCTAGACTCTCATTTGTCTGACATTTGTAACATCCACTGATTTTTCTTTTGTGTTTATTTAAAATTTAAAGCTCATGAACGTTAGTATTCCTTAACCATCTGGACTCAGCGTGCATCAGCAAAACAGTTAATTATTCACCACGTGATTCAAGTGCTCTACAAATAACACCAAGAGGAAGTGTGTGCTTGGTAATTTATGAAACCTTTAGAGGAGATTAATCAATTTAGTATTTAAAACGTTATCTTTAAAAGCAGTAGGAAGTTATCAACCAGGATACAAGTTGATGTCAGCACATAGGAAGGAAATGAGGGAAAAAAGGTGCTCGTGAAGATTAGAGAGGCTTTGTTAAAACCAAGAAATACGTGGATCACTTTAACTTCTTCCTCATGGCAACACACTCAGCACAAGACTGAAACCAGCTTAAAAAATAAGGAAGTGCATGCACTTCAGTGAATATAAAAAAAAACGAATGTAATCGTTATGCTGTTTTGCTAGGCGACCAGTCTTGCTGTTACTGACCAAGACAAAAGAACATGTCCAGAAACTTACACTAACTATAAATACACCAGAACTATTTATTTTCTTTGCCATTAATTTCACAAAGAGTGGATCACAAGTCAAACAGGAACAACAGGTGTCACTCTGACCTCATCTGAGCTTTACTCTTGATAGGTTCTCAGTAAACCTCCTAAAGTTCAGCAACAGGTTACTCAAATGTAAGCAACTGTATCCAGCCTGTGTTATGGCTAACAACCTCGACACATTATGAGTTGGAATATAGACACAGAGGTAGACAAGTACAGCAGCATGGTAAGTAGAAACAAAGTGCTCAAACATCACAAGTGCTGTGCCTTCTCATTCATTTTATCAAATGATTTTTAGTTTTTGCACAGTTTAGTTTCAATGGCCTCCATAATTGACCACAAAACATTTGGTTGGTTATCAAGTAAAGTTTTCAATGACAAGACAAGCTGAATGAATGAATAAATGAGTGAATGAAAGTTGTGTCCTTGAAAAAAGCCTCTAAAAAGCTTCACTTTGCTTTGTGCAAATGTAATAACCTGCATGCTTTCACTTCACCATTTAKGGGTGTGTTGATCCACTGTAGGTCTGCATGTATATGGAAAAATCGTCTGTGCTCTACAACTGTAGTTTACCCACCCTGTCACATGACGAGCAGCAAACAGGACTGCTGACCCTGCAGCTACTCTGAGCACATGACTGTGCAACCAAAAACACTACAATGGTTTGAAAAAACTACACTCCCATTGGATTTTTTTTGAATTAGCTAAATATTTTTATTTGATACCAAAGAGACAGGAAAGGGGACATTTCCTCAGCTTCTGATAAGCTACATAACCCTCTATGCTGTTTCAATAATTTGTAGTACTTATACAATACATAAGTGGTTAATGAATATTATATTACTTTGTAGTTAACAAATAAAGTTGAATTTGTCACCTCACCTGATCTCCCCGTTTGAGTCCAGCCTCTACAGCTTTGCTTCCTTCTTCCACCGACTCAACAAAGATGCCAAACCCTCTCTCGCTGCCACCTTTGATGCTGAAGTACAGCGGAGACTCCCTCGACGCCTTCTGCAGAGTGATCTGTCTCCACTTTGCCTTAGCTGTGCATGCAATGTTCAGCAGTCTCAGATGGCCCTTCATTTTCTAACAAGGAGAGAGAAGTAAGAACAATTTACACTGGAGATCAGAATCTAAAGCTGTTTTTGTCTCCCAAAGTCTATGATAAAAAAAGATTAAAAAAAAAAAACTTTCAAGGAAAGTATTATGTATTTTCCAGGCACAGAGTTGAATTTAATACCACAATCAAGTTACCTTCAGTTATAATGAAAATGCTGTATATATCAAAAATAAATTTGACTTTGCATATCATTGCCTATCTAAACACCTTGAAATTAGCCTCTGTGTCTTTAAGAACCTCCTACCATTTCTGACACTCCCACTTCAGCACATCTTCAACAATACTTGGAAGCTCAGCTGCAGACTGAGCTCCAGGGAGGAGCTTTGTACAAATAGGCAGTGCTTTGTACCAGAAAGTGTTCAGGCAGCTCCACATGGCTACCACAGGAGTCTCAAGGATTTCTCAAACATGCATGAATGAGTCAAAACTCTGGGTGTGTTTATGATGATGCAATGACATTATAACATGCTCAAAAAAGCTGCTTTTTCATAATATCTCCCTTTAAAAGTAATGATTTATTATTGCTGAGAAAAAAAGTCTGAGAGCACAAATACAACTTTACTTGCAAGAACTATGATTAAAAAAACTTGACTGCAAACTACAACTATGAAGATGAGAAGAATGAAACTCAAGTTTAGAGTCATATTTGATCTTACTGTGGCTTCAAGATGTTTCTCAAACTCCTCCAGGAAGTGGGTCATGGCTGGGTTGTCTTCAAAATCATTGAAGTGGTTGTTGACCCACAGCAGCACTATTCTGGTTACCTGTGAGAAACAAAAACTGCTGTATTTAAAGGAGCGAGGGAGCAAACAGAGTTCCTGGAATTGTATTTTTCAAAGTTTTATGTCTGTTAAGTTGTGAAACTTTAGTGTAAGAACTGCTTTGAATAGAAGGTCTTTAAGCTCTCCAGAAGTGTTTTATAAAGCTGGATGAGAACTTTGTATCTAAGCACAATGTTGTCTACAGGTTATTTAAGAACATTGTAGCTTAATAAAAATACCACGTTATGCACTATCTGGAACTCTAATTCAGCTACATCTAACAGGTAGACATACTCAAACCCAATGAAAAATCTACAGCTTTATTCTTTTAATAATAAAAAAAGGGTAAGTACGTGAGGAGAAATGAAGGATGGTCTATTTGATGACCTACAGTTAAGTACAGCTGCTCACAGAAACTCACAGGTTCTGACTTTATCTTGTGTCTCAAATAATTATGAGGGGAAAAAAATCATAAAAACAACAATTTATGCAAAACATCTTTTCCATGTTCCCATATTTGAATATTCTCTCATTGTTTTCTCTGTACACAATTCAACCCTGTTTAGTGTGAGGGCTAAAAGATTATGAGCCTGAATGACAACTACATAAAGACTATTGACAAACAAGAATAATCTTAGGTTAAMGCTGTTATGGACGGTAGGAGCATCAGGCATGAATGAATCGCTACTTGGCTCAAGGACAGCTGAGCTCGCTGTAAGTGTATTGATCTGCAGGTGGCAACACATAAATTTTCATAGATGAAAAAAAAAGAGCTGATAGAAGCATAAAGACTACCCCCTTCAAAACATAAGCAGCATAAGTAGATGGAGAACAAGACAAAGTTTTAGCTAAAACATCTTTTTACACAAAGAGATGACAAAATCAAGCTAAAAGCTAACCTGCCTGAGCGTTCACATCTTCTGGTGGTGCATAACACGTGTGTATAAATAGTACAATACAAAGATGTAACCACACACACAGACACACCGTGTCTCGGAGACTGTCCATCTGGAACCACTCCAGAAGTTTTCTCCCAACATCCATGGGACTCGACAGGAAGGTCCTGTAAGTCAGCAGGAAGTCCTCGATGTAGGTGGGGTCCACCACCGACGGCTCTTCTACCAGGTGCATGATCAGACGCTCGGGGGTTCCCTGAGTTAAAAATAAACACACATTCGTTAAAGCACACTCACAGAAACACAAGTGGGATGGTAAAAAATAAAAAAATTAAAAAAAAATCAAACAAGGATGTAATCTATACATACAAGAAAGAAGATGCAAGGTTAGGTCATTAATCATAAAAGTGACTACAAGAAACTATAAAATGCAGTTTAAATGGGTTTTCAACCAGCCGTTATTAAAACACATAAAGACTCACATATGAGAAAGTACAAGATTTTAGAGACCATACAATATTTTTACTTGAATTCTTGATCTCAACATGTAATGACTTTTATTCAGAAACAGAAAATGTCAAATGGTCGGGAGAGAACACAATAACACCTCCTCTTTCAGCAACCCTGTTAATGTCACCAGAACAGAAGTTTCAGCTGGAAACGATTCATTTGACAGGGAAGAGAAACTGGAAAGCCATCCACTTTTGTCTGATACAAAATGAACAAAGTCCAAAAGAGAGAAGCGGAAATGCTAACACTTGTGAATTGACTCTTCTCCACTGGATGTGTTTTAGAGCCAACAGCTTTCCTCTGAGCCGCAGCCAAGAGAATCATTCAGGCCCATTATCCGATCAATACCTGGCTGCCCTCTGCAGCTTTAGGGAAAGGATCAAAAGGCTTTGGAAGACAGGGCTATCTGGCGTACAAGAAAATGCTCCAGCAAACAATATACTGCTAGCGGAGCTTTAAAACGATCAGCAAAAAAGATCGAGCTGCACGGAGTTTATTTTTTTTCCAATTTGTTGTTTGGGCTGTTTGAAAAAAAGGTTAAATAAATCCAACATATTGTGGAGAGTATTAATATTATTTTCTAGTCTGAAAAGTAACAAAACAAGTGAATTTTAAGGGGAGTCTGGTCTATAAAGTATACAAATCCTTAACCTTAATGGAGTTTTCACAAAAGCGAAAAAAAAAAACAACAACAACTTTAAAATCAAATATTTCACTTGATACATTCGAAAATCACAAACCTTGATGACAATGTGTCCCTTCCTGGTGCCACTGCGGTCAAGCTCCCGGTGCTCCTTCACCATCACTATCTCCCCCTCTTCCTCCACCTTGTGCATGTTCTTCTCCACATGGTTGAGGATTCGCCAGTAGTCCTCCTGGGCGATGCAGACGAACTGGTCGAGGACGACATGGGGACAGCGGGTGAACTTGTAGTAGAGCAGAACGCTGCTCTGCACCACATTGGGATACTCAAAGAACAGCACTGAAGCATGAGAGCAGGCAAACTGAGGCATGAGAAGGATGAAGGAACGCAGGGAAAAAAAATCCAAAAGTGCTAATTTCCTGCTGAACATAAAAAACTCAACTTAAAGAAAAAAGGGGGTCCAAAACCATTTCAGCTGCCAGAAACATCCTTTAACGGAGCAACTTATCGAGCCTCGCACTACATCCCACTAAACAAAAATTGCAAAAGACATGACTTTCTTACTCGTTGAGCTCCTCTAAACTAAATCATCAGTTTCTACATTTGTCTCACAAGCAATACCTCTGCAACTTCCTGTCTATCTGTGGAAAGGAAATGATGTGCATTTTAGAGGAACTGGGCAGAGTGGACCAAAAGACTCAGAATAAACGTTAGACTTCCTTTATTTTTCACATCTCAGCCACATATCAAGATTGTGTGCTCTAACTGTGCAGTGGTGATTATATTATAAAGAAATCAGCATCAGCTGATTAAAATTACTTTAAACTTTAAATTCTCACGATATTTTCAAGTTGATTGCTACAAAATTTTCATTGATGCATTAAGAAAGTCATACATAGAGTAGAAACTTCAAGTGAAGTTTTTAATGTATTTTTGGGCTGCAGTCAATTTCTCTACACAAAACCAGGAAAAAAAACATAATGCACATTTTTCCCTGAACTACTGATCAGTAGGCAAATTAACTCACACTTACTGTTAGATTATTCACGACAACTCTGCATCTTGTACTTTTTTCATGTTGATAAGTGATGTTTTTTTCAGAGAGTTTAGTCAAATTACAGCTAGGGCTGCAACTAAAGATTAGTTTAATAATCGATTAATCTGTCGATTATTTTTTCGATTAATCGGCCAAATCATTAAAACACTTGATTACATAAATATGAGTAGATATAAATTAATTTCATTCCTGTATAAATTAGGGATGCAAGTTATCGATTAATGAATGAATGAATTAATTAAATGAAATAATATCTCATACATCGACTAACAATTAGTTGATTAGCAGTCATTTTCTTAAAACCTGAGTTTTCTCTTGAATCAAGAGGGTCTTTTCATAACATGAAGGATTTCTTTTTATAATCTGCTGAATTAAAAAACAGAAGCGCATTTTGCCAGCTGTATTAAATACTGACTGAAAAAAAGTATATTTCTCATACATAAAACGTAACAGAAATGTAATTGGTTGCTGAATGAGAAAAATAAATTAAAAGAATAAACTATGATTTTTAGATGTAAAACTATTATTAGTTTATTATAATTAGAAATTTTTTACATTTAACCTTAATGATTTTTCTCTAATTCTTTACTTTTTGCTTCCTTCTTTTTGGTTCTGTCTGACTGAAACAGTGTTCTATGGCCCAGTTAGTGGTTCTGAAGCAGCCCCCCCTCCCCCTACTGAGGCAGACCTGCTGCTTGCTTCTTTATTTTGTTTTTTATTCTTTCATCCTGAACCTTTTTTGCTGCTCAACAAATAACTCTGAGCCTCAGTCAGAAAAAACTGGAGGGTTTTTATATTTTTGGCCCGAGAGGAGGAAACAAATGGTAGATTTAGGTGCCCCCGCCCCACTGGACGTATTTCCTCCTCGCGATGCGGCTCGCATCAACTCAGACCATCATTTAAAAAAATAAACGTGTCATATACTTTTATACGTCATATACGTGTCTCTATTTTTGACTCGAGAGTCTCAGAGAGGGCAGATCTTTACAGGTAGAGTTTTTTCTTGCTAAACTTTTAGGTCAGCCAGCATTGACAATGCTCTGCGGGTGATGTAAACAGCTCCGCAACGTGGCGAGAGACGCATAAATCACATGACAATGAATTGATAATGAAATTCGTTGCCAATGTTTTAAATAATCGATTTTTATCGATTTTATGGATTCATTGTTGCAGCCCTAGTTACAGCTGGCAAACTTTACAGGAAATCACAGTCGAGGCAAATTKAAAACATTGCACTGATGCTTTCAGCTTCTTTTGAATGTCAAGCAAAGCTTTCCTAAAAGAAGATTTTTGTAAACGACAAACAGAAGTGAAAATGCTGCCTTTATTTATTTGCATTTATTTACCTGGCAGTCATCCCCTTTGGTGCGAACGTCTCCGTTCATGTACTGCTTGTCCAGTGAGGGCGTGATACCAAAACTGTTGCCCATACAAAGAGTCTCAGCTCGTCCTTCTGGGTGGCTGATCTCAATCGCTCCATTCAGAATCACATACCAGTGGTCCAGCTGCAGACAGATGCAAACAATAAGTGTACAAATATGTTGTTTTTGTTATCTTTTTTAGCAGTTTAATCAGTTTAATGTGCTTTTATTTCTTATTTCTTGAATTATCTTAGACTATTGTCAGCAGGGTAAAAAGTGAAACAAAACAATTTTCTTCTTCAGCTAAGTCTGTGTGTATGCCTTTATCAAAACACACGAACAGGAAGACTGCGTCAACATAACATTGACTGACGTAGTATATCGTGATCATGATGCACATAGTGTGAGGCATGAGTATATTACTGGAAAGGTATTGTATATCTTGTGGTTGAGTTTGAAGAGAAAATGCTGGCAGATAAAGTATAAGTTCTTTATTGCGTTGGGGGGTGGGGGGTAGTAGCCCTTGGCTCTTTCTGAAGCGAAAGCTGATATTTCCTCTTCATTGCCTTTTTATTCTCCTGCTCCTTCTCACCTAGAAAATCTCTAATTCACCTCTAAGCCCCTCTCACTCTCTCTACCTATCAGACTGTTCTTTTTTCATTCCGCCTGTGTCATACCTTTTACCTCAGAGGTGATGAAACAGTAACGTGCGAGAGAAGGGAAGACAATYAACCACATGCTGGCTTAGTTTGTAGACAAAAGTTGCTCAAGGGCAAAAGTTTCTTATAGTATAGCATCTCTGGATTTCATAAGAAAAACACATCTAAATCGATTCCCAAAATACTATAATAAATAAAGAAGTAATCAGATTTTACTCTTCTTTGTGACTGTCTGTTGTTGGATCAGTCACCTTTAATTTCCCTTTTCTTTCAGCCCTCTTAAGCACTTTCTCCCCCTCTTTTCCCCACTATTAAACCACTTTAGGCTCTTTATTTTTCTTTCCCTCTCACACTCATTCAGCAAAGTCATTTGGACTTCAAAGAGGAGCCAAGAACTTCTCTTTGACATTTAACATGGATCCACAGAGACGCGCCGGAGTGGAGGAGAACTGCCCATCAATCGACCTGACACAGGCAGCGAGGAGGCACCCAGATGCACGGGACGAACTTCCTATGTATTTGTGTGTATGTGCAGTGGATGTGCATGTTTCCATCCTCCTGGGCTTAGAGGTGGCCAATTCATTGCCATTTATCGCCCTGTCGGTTCTAATGCTGCTGTGTGGAAGCAAACAGCCAGGACAGAGCTCTCGTTTCTCAGGCATGTAACTTAATTAATTAGCTGTGTAGCAGCTTGTGTGATTGACAGGGTTTTCACTGCAGTGGCTTGGAACATACTGTGTGTGTGTGTGTGTGTGTGTGTGTGTGTGTGTGTGTGTGTGTGTGTGTGTGTGTGTGT